CAGCCTGGAGCGGCTCGGGCTGTGCCCTCACACCATCTCCCTGTCCAGGCCTGTCCCCTCCCTTGACATTTTCCTTTACAACATTTTTTTTAGAGCAGTTATCGCCACCATTAACAGCTCCAAGGCTCCGCCTCGAGTTCGCAGAGTCACAGAATCACAAATCGACAGATTCACGGAATCAAACGAATCACCGAATCAATAGACCCACAGAATCAATAGAATCTCAGAATCAACAGAATCACAGAATCAATAGAATCAATGAAATCAATAGAACCAACAGAATCTCAGAATCACAGAATCTCAGAATCAACAGAATGAATAAAATCAATAGAATCTAGTTTAAAGCCATTGCCCCTCGTCCTGTCACCACACGTCCCTGGGTGTGGGGTGGCCGCGTCCCCATCCTGCCCACAGCACAGCCCAAGCGCCGCCGGATGCCGGCGTCGGCCACCAGAGCATCTCCGCTGCTTCCCTCCTCCTCACCAGCGTGGGACGCCAGCCCTCGGACACCCCCGGGCAGGACGACACATCTTTTAATGTTCCCATTCTCATCTCACGAACCGTAAAACGGGGACAAGACAGACCTTCCCCATTTTCCGCATGTGCTATTAGGGGGAACTTAACCCGCCAGGTCCTAGTTGCCGAGGAAAGGCGGGTCACTCCGCTGCTTCCCTCCTCCTCACCAGCGTGGGACGCCAGCCCTCGGACACCCCCGGGCAGGACGACACATCTTTTAATGTTCCCATTCTCATCTCACGAACCGTAAAACGGGGACAAGACAGACCTTCCCCATTTTCCGCATGTGCTATTAGGGGGAACTTAACCCGCCAGGTCCTAGTTGCCGAGGAAAGGCGGGTCATTTTTTGTTGGGTTTAAAGGTGGAGAGGAAAAGCTTCTCTGCGTGTTGATAATTAATTGCGGAGGACTCGACGAGGAGGAGATGCGGCGACAGGTCGGGGACCGGCCGGCATCCAGCGCCATCAGGCGCACAGCCGGATGCAGGTTTCTTGCGACCAGAGCCAGAAATACGGGAAGACCTTCTCGGTGAAGGCGTCCTCGAACTGCAAGATCCGCACCATGCTCTCCGCGTTGTAGAACGTCACTCGGCCCGCTTCGTAGTCGAGGTGGACCCTGATTCTCCGCGGCTTTTCCTCCAGCGCCAGCGGCACAGGGACACTGGGACCGGTGGGGCCGCCCGTGTCGGGCCGGTCCCGGTGGAGCCGCAGGGCCCAGATCTTGCCCATGGTCATGCTGAGCGACTCCTTCCTCCCCACGGACTCCACGGCCACCCCCGCAGCCCAGCTGTCCCCGTCCCCAACCTCCAGCTCCCAGTAGTGCCTCCCGGCTGTGAAACCCCGGGACGCCAGGACGCTGGG